GCCGCGTCCTCTAAGGAGAAGGTGTTCGGTGAATTGCGCTGGAGAGAAACAGAGGGCGAAATGATTCCGAAACAACAAGCGGAGAGGAAGATACGGCCTAGAGAAATCTCCACAGACGGCCGGTTCCTCGCGACATTCAGGCGATGATGGAATTGTCAATGAACAGTCAGGTTGTTTCCATCTCCGATTGAACTCTGGAATTAATTTCAATATATTCCAGATTTGTCTGTTGATTCCTGTTTCGTTTTGTTTTCTCCCATTCTCTCGCCGTCTTCCGAAATTCCATTGCCGTTGGTTGCACTATGGAGGAGGAATCGAGTTTGCATGGAAGGGCGTTCGATGGAATGACGAAGCCGGACTCTGTTTTGAAGAATACCTGTTCGAGAGAGAGAGAGAGAGAGAGAGAGAGAGAGAGAGAGAGAGAGAGAGAATCAGCGGGCTTTATCTGGCGGCGAGAGCAAGTTCAAGTCCGAGAGCGCACGATGTTGTCGATTTCTAAGATGAAAAGCCACTGCCGGAGACTCGGATGCTGTGTTGTTGGGAGGGAGGTTGCAGAGCAGTTGTGCCGCAGCGACGCAGTTCGTTACATGGTTATGCTACTGCGGCGAAAGAGATGACCCTGAGAGAGGCTCCAAAATACTGCGCTTGATGAGGAATTGTCTGCAGATCCTAAGAGTCTTTCCTAATGGGTGGTGAGGAGGTCGGAGAATACCAAGGGGCCTCCAAGGTTTCTTAAAGGTTTCCTGTTGTTTTTTATGCAGCGCGTTAGTTGCATTATTTGAATGCGTTGTTGTCAAGGAGTGGATAGTTTGCATGGTCGCAAATCTAGTTGGTGTTTGCTCAAGTCTCCTGTTCAGTTGATATCATGACGGTATCAACCTAAGCACAGAAAAATGAGGTATACATGACACATATGCTCCAGTATAATATCGTAGGTGCGGGATGGGACCACTGTTACTACTTTGATTAACGCAGCTTGTAATGTTTGGTATTAGCCGCAAAAAGCTTCACCATCTCCTTCGTCGTTTTCCTGCCTTCTTTCGTTCGAAAGGGTAAGCAATCATTCGTAGATTCTGGGCATGCTCGTCTTGATATGAAGTAGTAATTGCTTTTGCTATTCAATGACACTCTTCACCCTCATTAACTTTGATTGTTGACAAATTGTTGCGTAGCTTAACTGCTATTCTCTAACTTGTTGTTCCATTTGGTAATGAGGGTAATTGGTCGATGATTCGGTCTTGTCAAATTCGATCTGTTAATCATGTGCTCTGCTGTTCTAGCGGTTGAATGAATTTTTATTTGGATATGCTTTGCTTCATGGTTATTGGTATCAATCTTATATGTTGTTTCCTTCTGTAATAGTGCAGTGTATGAAAATGGTGAACTCCTTAAGCTCACTCCTGGGCAATGTGGTCGTTTATTATAGGCCATTTGCTGCATTTGTTTCTCTTGTATACATGTATTTAGCGACAGCAAATAAGCATAAAGACTCTCTTGAAATACAAATCATGGAGATGTGAGGAAGTATCTTTGTGGATTTTTCGACACTACATAAGATATTCAAGTCACGAGTAGTTGATAAGCCATTAGAGGTATTATTTGTGACTGATGTGTGACTATCTTTTTTGGGCCTAGGTATGGACCTCTCAGGAAAAAAAATTATGCATTCAATCAGTCCCATTCGTTCATTCAAGGGGATCCAAAGGTAGAGTTTGGTTTAGTTGTCTCGACTCTGACTTGAATAAATGGCTCGTCCATTTTGATGTTATTCTACTCATATATATGTTATGAACTTATAAATAAGACGTGTAGTTTGTGTATTCTTTTCGAACCCCATAGCTAGTTAATTGCATATTAACCGTTATTGTGTATCATAACAAGGAAAATACTCTTTATTATCAACGAAAAAATGATAAATGAGAAAATGACCAAAAATGGAAGTTGGATTCATATTTAAAATTGAGTATTACGTTTCACCGCATCCTTTTTTTAATAGTGTCCCATTATCATTGTTTAAGGTAGAAAATTTTCATGTTTAGATTCAAACTTAGCTCACGTGGTTCTTACCTCAGGATTTAAAAACAAGGTGATGTATATATTCCTTGCCCGAAAGTGTATGGGGTTTTACTATCCTGCACTTTAACTTTCATAGCCTCTACTTTCATACTCTTATCTGATTTGATGTTTCTCTTATCTTGCTCTGATACGTCGATTACCTTATGTGTTTGGATTAATGTTGCTCGATTGTGCAACCATTGGTGCAGGGTCACTTAGTGAAGCACGCTTTTGAAATAAAAATAGACAAATACCGCACGATTCACATCTTTGAAATAAAATAAAGGGTTAATACCACGAAAAACCCTAAACTGATACACTTGTAACACATTTACCCCAAACTATTTTTTTGACCATAAAAAACCCCAAACTGGTACACCTGTGACAATTTTACCTCGAACATACCACAAAAAACCCCAAACTGGTACACATGTGACAATTTTACCCCAATTAATTTTTAATATTATTTTTTTGAATTTTTTCTTTTCTTTCCTTTTTTCTTCACTTCAACCTCTGGCTGGTCGCCGGTCCGGCGACCGGCCAAAGGCGGAAGCCGGCGAGGGCCGCCCTAGGCCGGCCGCGAGGGCCGCCTCGCGCGGCCGGCGAGGGTCGCCCTCGCTCGACTCTAAGCAAGGGCGACCCTCGCCGGATCTAGCGAGGCCGTCCTCGCCCGCCCAAGCGAGGGTTGCCTTGCCCGAAGCCAGCGAGGGCGGCCCGAAGCCCGATGCAGGCGAGGGTCGCCCTCGCCTGAGTCGGGCGAGGGTCGCCTGAGTCGGGCGAGGGTCGCCCTCGCTTGAGTCGGGCGAGGGTCGCCCTCGCCTGAGTCGGGCGAGGACAGCCCTCGTCCGACGCCGGCGAGGGCAACCCTCGCCCGACGTAGGCGAGGGTCGCCCTTGCCCAATACCGGCGAGGGCTGCTAAGTCGGGCGAGGATTGCCCTTGCCCTGGGCGGGCAAGGGCGACCCTCGCCGGTATCGGGCGAGGGCTGCCCTCACCCGACGCAGGCAAGGGCAGCCCTCGCCCGATACCGACGAGGGTCGCCCTCGCCGGCTTCCGCCTCTGGCCGGTCGCCGGACCGGCGACCGGTCAGAGGTTAAAGATAAAGAAAAAATATATATAAGGAAAAAAATAAATAAATAAATAAATATTCGAAAAAAATAAAAAATAATATTAAAATTTTAATTCATGGTAAAATTATCACATATGTACCAGTTTGGGGTTTTTTGTAGTAAGTTTAGGGTAAAATTGTCACAGATATACCAGTTTGGGGTTTTTGATGGTCAAAAAAATAGTTCGGGGTAAAATTGTCACAGGTGTACCAGTTTGGGGTTTTTTATGGTCAAAAAAATAATTTGGGGTAAATGTATCACAAGTGTACCAGTTTAGGATTTTTCGTGGTATTAACCCTAAAATAAAATAAGAATAGGAACCGAAAAGGTGCTAATTAAATATTAGCATAACTAAGTCCCCAATAGGTCTCCGGTTCGTGTTCACTTGGTCTAACCTGCCGCGATAAGTCAGTGGCAACTCCAGAAGATACTGCCCGGTTCGTGTTCACTTGGTCTAACCTGCCGCGATAAGTCACTGGCAACTCCAGAAGATACTGCCCGCGCAATAGAGATTTCCACTGTGAAACAACTTCCAACCCATGTGAGGGGTTCCGAAGAGGATCCCAGCCCTGAAATACTCTGATAAACAGAGTATAATTCAGCTGTTTCTTCTGGAGTTCTGCATCGGCTTGCAACTTCTCTTTTTCCTCTTGCAAGCTCAGAGCAGTCTCCTTCTCATTCCTCGGATCCCTATCGATCTTCTGAATATCCAACTCGACCGGGTCCACAATTGACCTTACATTGTGCCGGAGCTCGGGCATCGGAACGCCGCTCCCCCTCACCTTCTCTTCTGCATTCAGATTCTCCAAGTTTGCTAATACCCTAACCTGAGGTCCGCCCATGTCAAGTACCTTTCGCACAACTTCAACACCCCCCTGTTCCTGCTTCTTCGCCAACAGCTCCTCTGCTGTAACATATTTCGCTTTGTTCTTCAGTGTCGCCTTCTTCGCTTGCTTAGACCAAAGCCTCTCCTTACGGCTGGGCACATCAGGTAATGGCTTCTTTTCCTCTGGCTCCAGCGAGGCAACAGGTGCCTTTGCAGGAGTTTCTTTGTAGTCGTTGAAACCCATACCCATATTCTTAGGACGCAACTTTGCTTCAATGGGTGTCACAATCCCCTGCCGGTTCTTCCCAAGACCGCCCCCTTTGTAACGCATTTTCTCGAGCAAATGCGGTCGGCAAGAAACTCTCCTCCTCCCCCTCCTCGCCCTTCTCATCAAAACCATCCTCTCCTCTTCTTAAACCCCAAACCCACACCAGCGCCAGCCCCCAAGCCCGTCCTATCGTCGTCCATGGCAGCAGACTCGTCATCCTCATTCTCCCTCTTCGAATTCTCATCGATCTCTCTGTTCGGCATGACCGTGCCGGTGGACACGAAATTCACGGGTCTCGACAGATCGGCCTTACCTAGGAGGTCCTTGTTCTTCCTCCGCTTCCTCTTGGAGGACTCGTCGTAGTCCGAATCGGAGTCCCCCGACGCGACGACGCCGTAGAGCACGTCCTCCTTGGTCTGCGCCCGCTTCTCCCTCCGCCGCCGGTAGTAGAACTCCCCGTCGATCCACTGCCCGTCATCTTAATCGTTGTCCATCCCGAACCTCTCCATCTCCTGGTCCTCCTCCATCTTCCACTATCCCGGTTAAACCGAACCGAAGCAAGGCGCCTTAGGTTTCGGGGGGCTCCGGAGGCGGGGCGGCGCTGATTGCCGGATGCCGAGGCGACCGGCGGCGCGGATGCGGCGGCGGCGGCGGTCGGAGGCGGAGATGGGCTGTGCAGCTCGGGTCGAGGGTGGAGAGAGAGAGAACGAGAAGAAGCAATTGTGACCGATGCAAGAAGAAACGCTGAGAAATGGAAAACCTAACGGATCTTCTCCTTCTTCTTCCGTTTTTAATATCTCGGATGTTAACAACAATTCTTGATTTTTTTATAATTCCCTATTTTTTTAAGGAGAAAAAATTCATTTATCGTGATTTTTTTTTTAAATTTAGGTTGATGAGATGTCGATAATCGGGAATGAAATTGGGTAGATTTTCATTTATAGACATAAGGATATTGAAAGAAACATTTCTTAGAAATTTAAGGGCGTGATGATAGAATTTCTCTTCCCAGCCCTATTTTTGGCTATAAACATCTATTTCTATCCTCCGGATAAGTTTCTGAGTAAAAAGTAGCATTTGATAAAGCTACAAAATTTCTATTCGCAGAATAAAAATTCATTTGATAGGCTATTCTTAAATTTTTGCTCCTGGTGGCAGAGGGCGAGCAGGTGTCGGACGACGGCGGCGATCGGCGGGCGGTGTTGGATGGCCAGTGGCGGCCGGCGGACAGCCAGTGGCGGGCAACGGCGGACGATTGGTGGGCGGCAACCGACAGTAAGGGCGAGCAATAAAAGAGAGTTATTATTTATATTTTTGTTTCATAAATAGAAAGTATAAAATTTTAACTTTTCGTTTAGGTTCCAAATCTATTTTTAGGCTAAAATTTTGTCTCGAAAATAGAAAAATGAAATTATTTTACCAAATGAATTTATGTTCCAAATTTGTTTTCGATAACAAAAAAAATAGAAAAATAGGGAAATAGAATAATATCATTGGCCCCCTAAGTACCAATTTTTGACGATCTTCAACTCTTGTTTGCTTACAAGCTGCTCATAATGGCACCATAGGGTGTCCATATTATTGTCCCTTAACCCCTGCGGAAATCAAGTCGTTCCATCGATCCCCGAATCAGGAGATAAGAAGGGATCAACACCTTTTGCACTTGCAAAAGCCCCAGCAGTCAGCAGACCCAGCACGTCGAGCTAAGCCCACTATTTCTGTCGCTCTACTTGGCGAGAAGCGAACGAGGAAGAGTAGCCTGCATATGAGGTGTTCGATGAATTGCTCCATTGAAGATCTTTCAGCTCGTGCGCCACAACTAATGGGTTTTTACGTAGAGCTCCTTGTGATCATTTCATTTTTACGATTTCGATGATTTGTCGAGGTGGGTCTAACTCCGCGATTCCGCGACATCTCCGAGGCACACGCAATGGCATTTACTTTCTTGAGAAGAGGCGTCGCAGTAACATCAGGGGTCAACTCTTGTTTTCTGCCGAGGTTGGTCAGTGTTTGGTCGAGTTCGTCCGAAGTTGCTGATAAGGGAATCGAAAAGGGTCGGTCTGAGTTGGTCGATAATGGGCCTAAAACAGCTGCTCGAGGTTCGAACAGAGTGCAGCTTTCTCCATTGTTTGCTGATAGCAGGCCTTCATTAGATGGTTGTGCCATTGAGGTTGTCGATGACGACCAGTGGTGGGTCTCGGCTGGGTTGGCGCAGGCACGGCAGGGTTCAAGGAGGTCGGCGGGAACAGAAAATTGACCGAAACAACAGATGAGTATGAGGATCATTCTTCATCTGTTGAGGAAGAGGCCGACTTCGACGAGATTGATAACACGCGGATAAGAGGCAATCTCTTTTACAAAATTGACAAGGCATCCAAGGAGTTCAAAGAGTACAGTTTTGACTTCCCTAGGAAGAAATCCCCAAAGCGGCGAGAAGAACCAAAGGAAAGCGAGAAGAAGGAAGACCGAGGTTTAGTCACCAGAGATGAAAAACTTCCCAAAGCTGCAAAGAAAAAGAATGTGCCTTTTCTGCTGGATGAAGCCGAAGTCGATTGCACTTCAAGCAAAAAGAGGCTGAGGACTCCGACATTTAATCAACTCACAGGTCCTTACCATGAACCGTTTTGCCTGGATATTTACATATCAAGGGCCTCTGTTCGTGCATGTATAGTTCACAGGGCGACAGGCAAAGTCGTCACTGTGGCACATTCTATTTCGAAAGACATGAAGTTCGATCTGGCTTCGACTAGAAATACAACTGCTTGCGCTGCAGTTGGCGAAATTCTGGCTCAGCAAGCGTTGGCTGATGACATTCATGACGTAATTTACACGCCGAGGATGGGGGAGAAATTGGAGGGAAAGCTTATGATTGTGCTTCAGGTTGTTATTGATAATGGGGTTAACGTGAAGGTGAGACTAAAGCAACGGAAAACAAAGAAAGCCAACCATCAAGCCACAATTTAAAGGCGGAGTCATCAGCTCTCTAGTTGCGTGCACATTAGAAGGGAATTCTGCTGTGCTGGTGGCGACTGTTTATGGGTAAATGCAACTTTTGCTTATATGATCTAGAGAATGTTGCATGACATTGTAAGGCATCACTGTTCTCCTGGAGATGAGTTTTTGCAGAGAGAGGCGAGAGTAATATCTGCTCATTTTTTAGGGATGGACTATTGAACAAGAATATCCTGTGAAAGCTGTCACAGACAGATGTAGAACAAACCTCTTGTACAAGTATAAGGTTTCTAGTCCTTCCGTTGATAGACAAGTTTGTTTTACCAATGAAGGTTTATGTCCATAAGCCAAGAAACTTTTTGAGAGAAATTCTTGTCGATAATAACTTGTATGCCAAATCAATACATCTATCTCATGACATGTTCATTTTTTGCAGAGAAGATGTCAGTTATCTCATGATTCCTGCAAACACCATTCCGGATAAGCAAGAAATCTCCTCCCTTTTGAATATTTTCATCCCAAAACTCCAACTTTGACTTCCTAAACAAATTCATGCGACTCAGTTAAGTTCATTCCCTCCAACACCAAGGAGGCAAGGCAACCATATCCCATTTGCAACCACAGACTGAATTCAAGCTTTTCAATGCACAGGTTAACTTAATCCACCTAAAATTACCTTCCCCATGTTTGTCTAGTGTTACATTAACAATAAGAAGATTCAAACTTAGCTCACCGGGTTCCTACCTCAGGGTTTAATAACAAGGTGATGTATATATTCCTTGCCCGAAAGTGTGTGGGGTTTTACTATCCCGAACCTTTAACTTTCATAGCCTCTACTTTCATACTCTATCTCGATTTGATATTTCTCTTTTTCTTGCTCTGATGCATCGATTACCTTACGTGTTTGGATTAATGTTGATCGATCGTGCAACCATTGGTGCAGGGTCACACAATCTCCTGCCGTTCTTCCCAAGACCGCCCCCTTTGTAACCCATTTTCTCAGAGCAACTTCATTCCAATTCCCTTGGTGTGTACTTCTCGAAGCCGCCCACATTCCCCAAATCATAAAGAATCCCTCTTAGAACACCCCCCCCCCCCCCCCCCCCCCCTCCTTGCTGCGCTTTCTTCTCCAATTTGGATTGCTCCCTCCTTGATCTTCCGACCAAATGCGGTTGGCAAGAAACTCTCCTTCTCCCCCTCCTTCTCCCGGCCTATCCTCGTCCATGGCAGCAGACTCGTCATCCTCATTCTCTCTCTTCGAATTCTCATCGATCTCTCTGTTCGGCATGACCGTGCCGGTGGACACGAAATTCACGGGTTTCGACAGATCGGCCTTACCTAGGAGGTCCTTGTTCTTCCTCCGCTTCCTCTTGGAGGACTCGTCGTAGTCCGAATCGGAGTCCCCCGACGCGAAGACGCCGTAGAGCACGTCGTCCTTGGTCTGCGCCCGCTTCTCCCACCGCCGCCGGTAGTAGAACTCCCCGTCGATCCACTGCCCGTCGTCGTAATCGTTGTCCATCCCGAACCTTTCCATCTCCTGGTCCTCCTCCATCTTCCACAATCCCGGTTAAACCGAACCGAAGCAAGGAGCCTTAGGGTTCGAGGGGCTTCGGAGGCGGGGAGAGAGAAACGGGGCGGCGCCGACGCCAGATGCCGAGGTGACCGGCGGCGGGGACACGGCGGCGGTCGGAGGCGGAGATGGGCGGTGCAGCTCGGCTCGAGGGTGGAGAGAGAGAGAGATCGAGAAGAAGCAAAAGTGACCGATGCAAGAAGAAACGCTGAGAAACGGAACACCTAACCGATCTTCTTCTCCTTCTTCTTCCGTTTTTAATTTCTCGGATGTTAACAATTATTCTTGATTTTTTTGATAATTCCCTATTTTACTTTATGGAGAGGAAAATTCATTTCTCGTGATTTTTTTTTAAATTTATGTTGGTGATATGTTGATAATCAAGAATGAAATTGGGTAAAATTTTCAATTATAGACCTAAGGAGATTGAAAAAACATTTTTTAAGAATTTAAGTCGCAAGATATAAAAGCAGAACTTTCCTTTAATAGTAGGAAGTATATGTTGGATATTATAAAGGACGAGGGAGTAACACGGCGCAAACCTAATAATCTTCCCAATTAAGCTCAAAACCTGAAATTATCAAGGATTTTTTTTTATGTGTGCTCTTTGAGTTAATTTATGAAAAAACCGAAAGTATTATCAGATAGTGGTTCCAAATTAAAGGGTACATCGCAACAAAAATTGCAGCAAAAATCCCGTTGTTAGCAAACGTACCAAATATTTGTAGCTTTCGAATTGAAATTTGACGTGTTCCAAATCTATATAATAAGCAAGGCAATAATGCCATGAAGTTTAGTAAGGTTAGAACTAACAGCTAAACAACCAAACCAGAGAAAGCACGAAGAGATCTACGCTGGAATCCTGGTCACGGCCCAAGGTCTGGAGAAAGGGCCAAATCATGACCACCCTTCATATAGCATCGGCACTTTCCTCGGACCACAGGCATCAAAGCGAGGGTCCAAAAAAGGTATGCTACGGACGGTCCGAGCACGTGTGAGGAGCTTCTGGTGTCGTTTCGATGGAGTATGTTTAGGACCGAGAGTCATATGAGGCGTACCATGGTTGACCAAAGTCCAACGGATGGTAAGGGTACGTCCGTACGATCGGGGAGTCAAACCCGGCAATGTCAGTTGAAGGCCAAACAATTTGCCTTTTATGGTCACTCTAAGAAATCTCTAAACCTAGCAAATCTTTGATTCTGCATCTCTAATTCTTATGCATATTTTCGTGATAAATCTCTTTTCCATGTACAAAAGAT